TAATAATGATAAAAATATTTTAATAATATTAGTGAACAAGCTTTTAGTCATCCACGGAGTACAGTTGACGCGGGTCATTCCTAACACACTACAAAAGGGTAGGGTCGGAAGTCGTCAAAACAATATCTTTAAGACAATATCGTTAATTACGATAGCTGTCATTCCTTATGCATCAATATGAAACATGTATTTAACCAAAATAGGACCTGCCAGCTCTCTTGCTGAGAAATACTCCATATATTGTGGAAACGGGCTGCTCTATATTACTTTTCATTCATGTTGTCTAACAATCACAAAGGTTCCTAACATACACTAGAAAAAATGTGAGACCTTTATGTAATGTTGATCTCCGCCGAAGCAGACAGCGCCATCATAAGCAATTACAACTTCAAAGAAAGGTCACCGATCTTAACTGCCTATACATACTTAATATCTTTACAAAGTAAAGAAGTCGGCAGAATGATGCGCGTGGAAACTATGCTGGCTGCAGTCATATTCGTAATTGCGTGCTCACCTCCAACCATTACATTTTTGACCGAGCAAGTTATAGACACACAAGAAGGCACAACATTTACTCATGCTTTGAGGTCTTAAAGGGATTGTCTGGTCTTTAATATTCGGACAAATCGAATAGGTTCCTTTGGAACCTCAAACCACTAAAACCTTTCTATTGTCTTTATTCTTTCTTGGTATAATCTCTCTATTGTTCTCATGCATCGGTAAAGGTGTCTCTTTTTCGAATGCTTGATTGCTAACGCCACTGACCGACAATTTTCTAGTCCACAGAATTACACACGTTATGACGCGTCCCGGTGGCGCGACCAATGCTCGGTGACAACAACACAGAGAGACTACCGGCCTCGAGTACGGGCACCGAGCGAGTGGTCTACTGTACAACGGCAGCGCGTTCACCTTTAATAGGTGAAACAGACTCTACTGAGATTTATTGTCTGAGGTACCAAGCTCCATATCTCTCATCAGTACCTCATCATACTCTAGCATCCACAAACAACAACTTATACCTCACATCATTTTAACATAATATGCCGTCTATGAGGCAACAGACTGAGATCATCGCACACACAACAACATATAACATGACCTCATAAACGCTTTGAGGGGAGGAGTGATGCGACGTCCGATCTGAGGCAGAGTCGCCTCCGCGCCTGGATCTGAAGTGGTCATGCTGTCTATTAATGGGCGTTGAGACTGACAAGAGATGCTTGAGAAACTGGTGGCGGGTCCGGCACAGAGCGGCAAGCCCGCAAGTACTTGGATTTTTTCATTGGGCGACCAGAGTGGCCGATTATGACTGCGGTAATTCCACGCTAATGATCGCCAGAATGAGTAGAGCCTCTGTGTCTAAATGATGCATGCGCCGGTTTTGACATAGAAATTGTGTCAATATATCGGTTATTTTGGCATGTTATTGTATTGAGTTTAATTCGGATTAGAGTTGGTTTATTACTTATGAACCAGCGGCATTTTGATGTAATCTGATTCAATTTGTTTTGAATTTCTTGGTGTTATCGACATTTATGGAGGCTGTGATTAGTCCATATTGGCGTACGAGTTAAGAGCATTAAATGGCCTCTAAATTATAGCTATAAAAAATTGTGAGTTAATTACATTATTGTCGTGGTCATTATCTTGGCCAGCTGAATTAGTCTGAAGGTACCGCTCAAAAACAGTGTGAGCAAAAGGGCACATTTGTGTGGTATGACACGAAGAATTGTGCAACTGAGATGTCTGATGTGGGCAGCTGGCGCAACCATTGCAGGTAATTGTAAGTGACTTTAATTGTGTCCATGCTTGTGCAACTTACTCGTTATTAGTACATAACAAGTGCAAACCTAACCCATTAGTATCATCTCAGGCTAAGATACGTCCAGCTATACACAAGCATAGTAATACAGGCTTTCAATAGCTTTGGTCGTAGTCCGGTGTAATATAGTTCTGGCGGCGGCCGGTATATATATATATAGTCTAGGCGGCGTACTGCCTAGGTACTCTAGACATAGTCGCTCTGGCATACATTGACTGGGACACAGGCGGCGTTCGAGTTTGCCTTCGGCTCAACCTATACCTGCCACCGAATAGGCTCCTCCTCCCGCACGCTACCGCTAGCACGTACTAGCGCACGTCCGCCTATACGATTAGTCACCTCAACGCCACCGCATACCCCTCCGTACATGCACTTAACGTGATGCGAGTATTTCATTTTGGTTTGGCATAGTGCATCAGGTGCAGGCACGCGCGAACTGACACACCACATATATGGATCGTCGTTGGTGTCATGTGTGGCGCCTGGGTGTGCGTAACGGCCCTACGGGCGGGTCGGCGCCCTTGCCCACGGCATGCACATATTGTCCCTCACTCGCACGGTCTGCGTTTCATCCAACGCGCGTTAGTTTCACGGCGTCCACACGCGCGAGCGGCAGAGTGCGCCCTACAGTAATGTGTGTCGAGCTGCCCCGGGCGCTCGCGTCATCGGGTCGGGCCCAGCGTTCGTCCCAAGCACCTGGGGTCTTGCCTCCACAGGGCCGCGGGTTTCCCTCCGGCTACCCTCGAGCCCCGCCTCGCCCGCTGCGCCCCGCTTCGCGACGGCGCCCAGCCCCCCCCAGGCGATCTAGCACCCCAAGTAGCGGCTCGGGACACGATGAACACCTATCGGAGTAAAACGACGCGTGCAATGCGTGGAAGAGGGGCCAGCCGCTGCTCCCAGTTGCACGTGGGGCGCCGATTGCTGGCCGGAGAGCCCGCCGGAGATTGACGCGACCACGGCACAAACGGATGGCGCACCCAGGGCCCGGATCAGGTTCCGGTGTTACACAGGGCGCCCCCACAACCGGAGCGGGCATTGTGCCGAGCCCGCAGGCCCAGCAGCCGCTACCCCCCCGCCCCAAGCACGACCACAGATGGTCAGACCGCGACCTCTCTTAGGCGACAATCGTCGGACAACCCAAACAGCTCTTGCGCCAAACTCCTGCTTCGCCCCGCGACCGCCCCGCGGAGTCACCCTCGCACAAGCTGGGATAGTCCACCCTGCAGCCGACGCCGCTACGCCGTTCGAGTGCACCTCAATTCTCGGGCGCAATGGATTATGAAGTACTAGTTCCCCCCAGTCACTGGTGGGAGTCCGTCTCGACGACGCCCCGCCCGCCGTCCACATCAGGCAGCCCATCAAATCGCCCAGTTGACCCGCCCGGCCGCGGCCACGCCCCCGGCCCCCACACAACAACAACACAATAACTGCCGCGATGCCATCTAATCACTATTATCTCTCTTC